ACTATCCACTTGATTGTGGTGATTAAACTCATGTTTTGGTTCCCTTTTCAACTTGCTTGTCAAATTTCCCAGTGCCAAAAGTTCAATATGAATTCTCACAAGCCAGTAATGAATCAGTTTGGATCTGCAATGCATAATCATAGGCTTGTAGTTACCTATCTACTAACTATAGTTGTAGGTAGCCTGGCAACACCTTTTCTGACTAACTAATTTTAATAAAATTTGATCAAATTGCTTAGTTGGAAAAGGTGCTACCAAACGCTTTTTGATTCTTTTCTCTTTTTTTTGCCAACATACAGTAGATAGCTCTCTCTTAAAATGTTTACTGCAATTATAGCTGAATTCACGAATTACAAACATGGAAACTTTTAGATAAGTGGACTTCAACTCCCAGCTGGCTGGCTGGGGAATTCTGGGAGTTGAAGTCCACACACATCTTAACGTTGCCGACTGCAGAAAAAATCGTGCTGGCTGGGGGATTCTGGGAGTTGGAGTCCATGTATCTTCAAGTTGCCAAGTGTGGAAAACATACTAGCTGAAGAATTTTGGGAGTTGAAGTTCACACAAACCCTAAGGTTGCAAATTTTGAAAACCATGCTTGCTACGGAATTCTGGGAATTGATATCCATAGGCTTCTTGAAGTTTGAAAAAAAATACACTGGCTGGGAGATTCTGAGAGTTGAAATCCACATGCTTCTGAAAATTGGAAGTTTGAAAAACATGCTGGCTAGAGAATTCTGGGAGTTGAAGTCCACACATATCTTAAAGTTGCTAAATTTAAAAACAAAATAATACTGGCTAGGGGATTCTGGGAATTGAAATCCTCTTATCTTAAAGCTGCCAACTGGGAAAACATACTGGCTAGGGGATTTGGGGAGTTGAAGTCCACACATATCTTAAAGTTGCCAAATGTAAAAAAAAAAAAAACAACCACCACGCTGGCTGGGGGATTCTGGGAATTGAAGTCCACGTGCCTCTTAAAGTTGCCAAGTTTGAAAAATATGCTGGTTGGGGAATTCTGGGAGTCGAAATCCACACATCTTAAAACTGTGTGATGGAATGTAGTGGGCTGGTTTCCCAGAAAGGAGGAAATGCATTGCAGAGGAGTAAGAAAGGACAATTTGGATATTTTTCGTGTGTGTGAGGGAGGGTGAGGACAGCCTCTCCCTAATAGTTCCCAAGTATATGTTTGATGTAGGTAGTAGGTTACTTCAGTTGGGCAACATTCTGTGTATAGGTGTGGAACAATAAAAAAAAAACACCTTGCTTTAAATATTGGCTAAGTGTTTTTCTTGGTTTCAGGGGTCTGACAAACTGTTAAAGGTAAAAAAAAACCACTCAGGTTGGGGAATTCTGGGAGTTGAAATCCACAAACATATGGGGCTCGCGTGCCCTCACAAATGGCTCCACATGCCACCTGTGGTATGCATGCCATAGGTTCACCCTCATGGGTCTAGTCTAATGAAAAGAAGGACTAGGGGAGACATGATAGCAGCCTTCCAATACCTCAGGGGCTGCCCCAAAGAAAAGGGAGTCAAGCTATTCTCCAAAGCACCTGAAGGCAGGACAAGAAGCAACGGGTGGAAATTAATCAAGGAGAGAAGCAACTGAGAACTAAGGAGAAATTTACTGACAATTAGAACAATTAATCAGTGGAACAAATTGTCTCCAGAAATTGTGGGTGCTCCAATACTGAAAGTTTTTTTTTTAAAGACGTTGGATAACCATTTGTCTGAAGTGGTGTAGGGTTTCCTGCCTAGGCAGGGGGTTGGGCTAGAAGACCTCCAAGGTCCCCTCCAACTCTGTTATTCTATTCTATTCTATTCTATTCTATTCTATTCTATCCTATCCTATCCTATCCTATCCTATCCTATCCTATCCCATCCCATCCCATCCCATCCTATCCTATTCCATTCCACTCTACTGATTAGGTTGACTGTGGGAAATTGGGAGGGGCTTTGCATGGAGTGAGCAGAGATAGTCACTACAACATTCCTTTCTCGGAAATGTCAAGGACATTCAGCCTCCACCTGGAGAGGCGTGCCAGGGGAGACATCTCCAGTTGGGACGGTGGATTGATTGGGCCATGTGAGGGACATGCAGGTGCAGGGGAAAGGACTTTGATTTTCCTTTGGGTGGGGAAAACCCCAAAGGGACTTTCAGGTTTTCCCAGATGTGCCAATATGATATCTCTAATAAAGTATAGCTTTGAGGAATCGCTTGCCTCAAGAGCCTTGTTTGGTTGGGATTGTTACTTGGAACCAAAGGTGGTATTCAGACAGTTCTGACAGGTTCTGGAGGACCGGTAGCAGAAATTTTGAGTAGTTCGGAGAACCGGCAAATCCCACCTCTAACTGGCCCTGCCCCCATCTACTCTCTGCCTCCTGAGTCCCAGCTGATCGGCTGGGTCTCCTTTGGTTGCCCTGTACAGGAGAACGGAGCTGGAAAGCAGGTTAGTGAGATGGGGAGGGAATTTTGCAGTAACCTTCCCCTGCCACGCCCACCAAGCCACGCCCACAGAACCGGTAGTAATAATTTGAATCCCACCACTGCACAACGGGGCATTGCTTTGCTATTTCCAGGCTAGCTCCGTTGGCCAGATCTAAACACCCTTGAATCTGCTTTAGTGGTAGCCCAGCTGACAACTTCGGATCATTGAAAAACAGAATTCAGGCTACCCGATTGGGTAAGAAATCTTGTTTGCTATTGGAGAGGAGCAAAAAAATAAATAAATTCTGAGTTGGAAGGGACCTTGTAGGCCATCTAGTCCAACCCCCACCCGCCCAAGCAGGAGACCTTACACTATTTCTGACAAATGGCAGTCCAGTCTCTTCTTGAAAGCCTCCAGTGATGAAGCTCCCACCACTTCTGAAGATAAAATACCTTTTATCAGCTCAGATCTGAAATCAGGAACAGAGCAGAACAAGGAAAAGAAGGACCAAATTCCAACGTGCAAGGCTTACAGAACCGGCATAATTAATTGATCTCCTGGATGCGGATGAAGAAGTTGAGAGCCATTACCCTCAACCCGCTGGCCACACCAGTGGCTAAGTCGGTGCTGAAATGATTCTAAAAAGAGGCTTGGAGGCCATCCCATCCCATCCCATGAGATACCCAACCACTTCTCTCCTCCCCTTGGAATGGTGCACTATAGGGCGTTGCGTCGAAACGATCACTCTGCTGAACACTTAATTCCCATAGTACTGTCTTCTGTCAAAGTATAGTTACCCATGGGGTATGGATGTATTGAAGGGGTATTGAAGGGGACGCGGCATGTGGTATGGCTGTATTGAAGGGGACGTGGTGGCTCAGTGGCTAAGACAATGAGCTTGTCGATCAGAAAGAGATTGAATCCCTAGCACCACGTAATGGAGTGAGCACCCGTTACTTGTCCCAGCTCCTGCCAGCCTAGCAGTTTGAAAGCATCGAAAAAAATGCAAGTAGAAAAATAGGGATCCCTTTGGTGGGAAGGTCACAGCGTTCATCCGGGCGCCTTTGGCTTTTAGTCATGTTGGCCACAGGACCACGGAGACGCCTTTGGACAGCACTGGCTTTTCAGCTTTATAAGAGACCCCCTCTAGAGCTGGAAATGACTAGCACGTATGTACGAAGGGAACCTTTACCTTATATATATAAAAAAAAAACCCAGATCTGCCAACATCTAGAAACAAGTAAAGTAATAAATAGCAGTCAGCACGGGTTTGTTAAGAACAGATCATGCCAAACCAATCTTATTTCATTCTTCAACACAGTGACTAAATTAGTAGACCAGCAAAATACTGTGGACATAATATATTTAGCTTTCAGCAAGGCATTTGATAAAGTAGACCACAACCTACTTCTTAGTAAGCTAGAAAAAAGTGGAATAGATAGCACCACCACGATGGATTCACAACTGGCTGGCAAACCATACTTAGCGAGTAGTCCTTAATGGGTCTAAGTCTACACGGAGGGAAGTAAGCAGTGGGGTGCCACAAGGTTCTGTCTTAGGCCCAGTATTCTTCAATATCTTCATTAACGACTTAGATGAGGGAATAGAAGGGGAACTTACCAAATTTGCAGATGATACTAAGCTGGCAGAAATAGCTAACACCCAAGAAGATAGGCTCAAGATCCAGATGGATCTTGACAGACTAGAACACTGGGCCGTATCTAATAAAATGAAATTCAATGTAGAGAAAAGTAAAGTCCTACACTTAGGCAAGAAAAACCAGAAGTGCACATATAGACTGGATGAAACCAGGCTTAATGGCAGTAACTGGGAGAGGGATCTTGGAGTCCTAGTGGACAACCAGCTAAATATGAGCCAGCCGTGTGCAGCAGCAGCCAAAAAAGCTAATGCAATCCTAAATTGTATTAACAGAGGGATACAATCAAGATCAAGGGAAGTACTAATACCATTCTATAAAGCCTTAGTAAGACCACACCTAGAGTACTGCATCCAGTTTTGGTCACCACACTATAAAAAAGATGTTGAGCCCTAGAAAAAGTACAGAGAAGAGCAACCAGGATGATTAGGGGACTGGAGGCTAAAACATACGAAGAATGGTTGCAGGAACTGGGCTTGGCTAGTCTAGTAAAGAGAAGGACCAGGAGAGACATGATAGTGGTCTTCCAATATTTGAGGGGCTGCCACAGAGAGGATGAAGGGGTCAAACTATTTTCCAAAGCACCCGTAGGCCAGAGAAGGAATAATGGATGGAAACTGAACAAGGAGAGATTCAACCTGGAAATAAGGAGAAACTTTCTGACAGTTAGAACAATCAACCCATGGAACAGAAGTTGTCTTTGGAAGTTGTGGGACCTTCATCACTGGAGACTTTCAAGAAGAGATTGGACTGCCATTTGTCAGAAATGGTGTAGGGTCTCCCGCTTGGGCGGGGGGTTGCACTAGATGACCTACATAGTCCCTTCCAACTGATTATCTGTTATCTGTTACGTACACACATACTGTTATATATTTTCAGATGAGAATTACATCACAACACAACTTAACTTACCTTTTCCAGCCTCTCCAGTATATTGGTAAATGCTGCACGTGAGAAGAAGGAGAAATTCTAGGTATATCACAAGCCACTCATTCACAGTATCAGCCACAAGAAGCCATGTCTTCTTGAGTTGAGCCTCCGAGCAATTTGGAAGGGAGTTTTATCTGGTGCTGTGAAGATGTTTGATCGTATCTTCCCAACTTTTAACGCCTTCTTCACCCTGCAAGGAGCAGAAATCGAAGAGAGAGAAACACACACACACATCCGACTCAAATAAGAAGTTTCATTTTCAAACAAGGGTTCTTTCAGCCGAGCTACGGTGGGAGGAAACTGTTCACCGATCCGGTTGAAAAACCTGACCCACAATTTTACCCTCTATTGCACCAGCTCTTTCTAAAATCATGAGGCATTAGAGCCGAAGCTGCATGTCAATCAGTTTATGTGTTTTGCCAATGATAACGATTTCCAAATTCTGTGCCAAGGAAAACTGTCACACCAGCAGTGAGGACCGAAATATGCAAATAGAGATATCCTTGTCTTTATCTTTTCAATTCATTTCACTTCATCCTGATGTTTACAGTTCTATCCCTCCAAGCCCGGCCATATCTATTCTTGTATGTGCACTGCCTTGAGTTACTTATAAATTAATAAAGGTGGGATAAACATCTAGTGAATAAATCAATAAGTGAGACCAAGATCCAAGAAACCTAGATTCGTAGGCCCCCAAAATGGTGTTACAACAAACCCAAATGTTATCATTCATAAAGAACATGAACACAGCGCGAGCCATTCTTGCACATATTTTCCACAGTTTAGTCTAGTGGTGAAGGTCCAGGCTACAAACTGGGAGACTGTGAATTCTAGTCCCACCTTAGGCATTGAAAGTCGGCTAGGCGACTTCGGACCAATCAACACAAGATGGTGAATTCTAGTCCCACCTTAGGCATTGAAAGTCGGCTAGGCGACTTTGGACCAATCAACACAAGATGGTGAATTCTAGTCCCACCTTAGGTATGAAAGTCAACTAGATGACTTTAAACCAATCACCAGGAGACAGTGAGTTGTAGTCCTGGCTTAGGCATGAAAGCCAGCTGGGTGACTTTGGGCTATCACCAGGAGACTGGGAGTTCTAGTGCTGACTTAGGCACGAAAGCCGGCTGAGTGAACTCGGGCCATTTACTCTCAGCCCAACCCACCTCACAGGGTTGTTGTTATGACTTGTCAGCAGGCTCCATAATCTTCGTCATGGATTTTTCTGTCGATCAAACCATTCCACCTTTCTGCATATAGAAGTCTCGTTGTTGTTATTGAAGGATCAGATGCTGGAATGTATGTTCAGAGGAGACCCTGAGAATCAGAGGAAGGATCGTATGTGGAGATAAGACCCGGGTATGGGTGGAATGGACATAAGAGTGAGGAATATGAATTCTGATAAAAACATTTTCTCTTGCTCCTTCCTGTCTTCTCTCTCTCTCTACAGAAGAGGTGGGGGGGG